CAGAGCTAGCATGTGAGAGCGGGGATCCAGGATTCAAACCCAGATCTGTTTGTGTTTTTGGCCCAAATCCCCAAATAGTTGATAGTGATCATTGCTCTTTACCCTATTTATTTTTTAACCTATATATTTTTTTCTTGCTAAATCTGAGTCAATTCTTTGCTCAACAAGAGACAGAGTAATACAAACTCAAAGTTTTCATAAAAGTTATATTTCCATTTTCTGAAAACTAGCTGGTTGTTATGGTTGTTGATGTTTTTTAAATTTCTACGTAAGTCTAATTTAGGAAAGTAAGTATGCATCTAATATTCAGGCACTTTGGTTTTAGGTTTGGAGGTGGGTGCTAGGGAAAATATTGCATCAAAAAATTAGAGTGAATATACGAAGGTTGGAATCTCCCCTCATTCCCATTGATTCCCTGACTTTGATATATACATGATTTTCTCCCTCCTGCTCTTCGCCCCCTCAAACTGTGGGTCTGCTTTATTCCTTAGGGTAACTATACATACTTTATTCAGTTACATTCAAACTGTTTATGTTTTTATTATTTGTTTTTGTTGTATTCTGCTTTTCTACAGATAAATCTCTTCTCCCAGAGCTTTGCAAGTGATATTACTCAATAAACTCCTGGATTTAGAATAAACAGGAATGCAAATTGCAAGTCCTCCTATGGTTCTTTCATTCTGAGCACCAAACATTTGAGTGGAGTCACAAAAAGAACATCCTGCTCATTTTGTGATTCTTTAGATTTTCAAAAGATGCAACTTTTTAAAGAAAATTAAAGGAATCTGGATGTAGTTGTATCAAATCAGTTGAGTTGTTTTATAGAATGCCAGCTTCCTTCATCTCCACTGTTTAGCTGCCAATGTATGTCTTATCTCTTATAAAAGTTCACCTTTTAACCTAAAATTTTAAGAAAATACTAGAAATGCAATCGTGGGAGACCTAACTCAATTAAAAATATACAAGTACAGAAGGAAGTTAATTTGGATATGTATTACTTGCTGCAGTTGGAATCTTGATTCTTTCCTCCTGGTCCTCCTCCTCTTCTTCTTCTTCATCATCATCATTTCTCCAGCCACTTTTAGTTACTTTCTTTAGTATATATTGTGCTAATATAAATAACCTGCTTCCAAGAATAATTCTAGTCATTTCTTGAGCAGATCTGTGAGTGTGTGTGTGTCTGTGTGTGTGTGTGTGTGTGTAATTACTTATATAAAGCCCTTGGGCTAGGCCAACATTCTGCACCAGTGAAACAAGGTTATGAATGAAAGACCCTTGCACAAATTAATTTAATTCAGAATTACCTCTGGAATTGCTGACTCTATATTGAAACTGCATGTAATACTTACCTTACCAGTCTTTTGGATTCAGTCAGATATTCTCAGATTTTGTCTACATCCATTTTTTTTTCTATGTGGGGATAAGAAAAGGGAGGTGAGTTACCCTCACTCCACCCCCATTCCTTGGGAACCCAGGCAGCCTGACCACACAGCTCCCCAGCTCATCCAATTTTGATTTATCACTTTACCAAGATAGGAACACACGTGTGTGTGTGTGTGTGTGTGTGTGTGTATGTGTTAAAGTATCAGACAATTCCTCTAGAAAAATAACAACAAAAATGCTTAGTTAGCTTGAACATTATTGACTGTGTTTGGGCTAGCTTCAAAGAAAACATTCAACTAAATAATTTTCCTACCAGTTATATTACTCGATTCATATGTCCCTTTTTCAAATACAACTTTTTAGTTATATAAATATTCTAATGTCTTTCCTCTTGGAAACATTCCCCATGGTTTTGCCCCCAGGGTATGTTTTATGTTTGAGGATTAAATCTTGAGGAAATGGAGATCTTTATTGAAAATGTTGACATAATTTAATCCACAAGAGAAAAGAATGAATGAGAGCAGAGTGAGTAGTGCTTTTTTAATATGGAAAGTTTAAAGACTAAAGTGAACGATTTATGAACAGAGCTTGTCAGATATCACTGGAATTGACATACAAAAAAAATTCAGAAATTATAGTAAATTTATGAGATTTATAGAAGAGAATTAAGAACGGGAAAAGAAAATATTATATCCAGAAGTTTAATTATTTTCTGTGAAAATTTTCCACTCCAATCACTTTATTGAACAAAGGACTTGTTCTTTTAGGCACTGCTGTAAGTTTTATACTTTCTTAGGTTTGCATTTGTAAAGCCAATAAGGCAGCATTTGTCAGAAAATGACTGTGTCATGGAAGATGAGTCCGAGTCTCCGGCCGGCACCACTTGGGCTGAGCTCCTGGCACGTGTCCAGGTGGCACAATTCCTGCAGCCGTGTGAGCCCCCTGGGTGTGGGACTCGCATGGAAAATCTGTGCTGCTAAATGTTCCTTCGAGTCAACCAGAGACTTACAAGGAGAGCTCCTTTGAAAGACTAGTTCAGTTATTTATTAGCACTCTCAGAGTATAGTGTCAGCCAAGATAGTATTTGAAATTAATATACTATTTGATTAGACTGATTGATTGTTCCTGCAGCTGAAGATTTTAACATTCATTAGCCATCCTAGCCAGTCATTAGTATTGCCGTTATCAGCAAGCGAAGAATAAACAGAAATTCTAATAAAAATTCATCACAGCGAATGGACTCCATACCTAAGTGAGTGTGATGAGTGCGGTGGGCTAGATTAACTGCTGTAGCATTGGCAGCGGGAAAGATTTCTGTAATAAAATTTAAAAATATCCCTTAATTAATGTTTACTTTGTAACTGGACTCTTTTAAACTTAAGTAGGCTATACAGATAATCTCTTACATATCCAGTATAATAAAGTGCTAATGGGTGTTTTATACTTCATGTGTCTGTGTGGTATCCCCTAACTATTAGTTTCAAGAGGATTGAGGACTTAGGAAAGTTTTGTTAATGTTTTGCTGTGAGGCCTTTTCCCACTCTGAGGAGCAGAGCATTTGGCCCATTTTTTTCAACCAAGTTGGTAGAGTAAATCTGAATTGTAATGCAAATGTGCTGACCTGTTATACTGCCTGACACCTCCCTTTACCTACCCCAGTGGTCGGCAAACTCATTAGTCAACAGAGCCAAATATCAATAGTACAGCGATTGACATTTCTTTTGAGAGCCAATTTTTTTAAACTTAAACTATATAGGTAGGTACACTGTTATTAACCTACCTACATAGTTTAAGTACTGTTGATATTTGGCGCGTCCCCCCCCAAGCTGCTTATCCCGCGCCCCTCCTGTGCCGAGTCTCCTGTCACCTGCCCAACGGACCTACACCCCCCACTTCTTCTAACGCCATTTCTTCAAAATAGGCTCGCCCAGGCCGAAAACCGACTTCTGCACATGGGCCACAAAGTTTCAATCGCACTGTACGTGCGCGCCTGCACGTGGTATTTTGTGGAAGAGCCACACTCAAGGGGCCAAAGAGCCGCATGTGGCTCGTGAGCCGCGGTTTGCCGACCACTGACCTACCCTGTCATGAATCCCCTGTGGTTTTAAGAGCAAATGGAAAGGAGCATGAGGAGGAGAGAAGGAGGTAGGCAGGGAGAACCCTTTATGAATTGACTCCAGGCCACTCCAGAGCAAGTGTGTGCGCACTGAGAATTATAACTACCTGTACTGACTCCCCCTCAGCCCTTCACATGCAGTAGCTCATTTGGTGCTCAGAACTATATCTTGAAAGAAGGTGCCAGCCCCCTTTAAAAAGGGATGTGAGGAGACTGGTGCTCAGATAATAGGTTAGCAACCTGCCCACGGCCATGCAGATCTGCAACAAAATCAGCACCTCGGCCTCTCCGCACAGTGCCAGAGCCACGCTCACCTGCCTGGCTACCTGCACAAGCACAAGCTGAACTGCCAAGTTCTGTTTGAGTTTCTGTCTGTCATTGAACCTCTCAGGGCCTGCAGCACCTGTCTCACCTCCCTTGGCTCTGGCATGAATCCAGACAGCTGGACAGAAAGTGAGGATGGTGAAGGCTTCAGGACAGAGTCTAAGAGCCAGTTCAGGGACTACTGTGTCCCAGAATGTGTCAAGCTCTACCTAAACAGGGTTAAAACCAGGAAGTCCAAGCCAAGATGCAGGGTCCAGCTGTGCAGGCAGAGAACAGCATAAGAGACTCTGGGCGACTGCATCTTTGGGAGTCAGGAAAGTCTCCAGGTGGTTGTTATTCTAGGGCTGGAGGAGGGCTGGAGGGGAGGTTCCTGCCTGTAAGAAATAGGAACGGGACTGAACATAGGGAAAAAAAGTCAACAAGGACCAAAGCGGAATCTCTGCCAGAGAGAGAGGCGGGGAAGAGAGGACTGAGAGAACTGGTATTAAGGCACTGCCCTCGGGATCCAGGAAGATGGGGGTGAGGAAACCAGCCCAGTGTTGCTCATCTTGGGTCTGATTGGGAGCAGGGCCAAATTCTAAGGAGGTGTTGCCCTGAAAGGGAAGGTTGGGGGGAAGGAAGACACGCCAGAGCCTCTGGAACATGAATGGCTCCACAGGTGGCTACGACTTGATTCTATTTCCCAGGCAAAACCTGCTTCCAGTGGAGAACCCAGGAACAGAGGCCAGAGGGCTGCACCCTGAGTGGCTGCAGAGAGGCCTGCAGATGGACTGCAGAACTGAGACAGCATCAGAGCAAGCACGCCTCCCGAGGCCATGTCAAAGGCTCTACTCCTTTTAACCTTCTTTTACCCGACAGTTTTATCCTCACACAATCCAAGGTTAAAAATGAAGAAGAATCAATAGGGAATGGTTAATTCCATAAATTACAACTTGACTATAATAATCTTACATTTTAATCTATGTTATTGCCTCCAGTGACAAATTACTATTGATAGAACAGCCTATTTCAATAATTTTGGATGTTATTCCAGAGAGGAATAGAGCTGATAATTATGCTATCTTTCAAATCTATGCTTGGAGCAAATTTCTTTCTTGACTCTTCTAAGAGATTCTGAATGGATAAAATGTTCATGTTTATGTTTCCTAATTCTTCTTCCTTTCCTCTCCCTGCACAGGAGACTCTGAATGTGATTGATCCTGGCTTGATGGACCTAACTGGGACCAGCGAGGATGCCCTGGAATGGGATGAAACTGATATAAGTAACAAGTTAATTAGTTTGAATGAAGACTCAAATGACCTCAATCAAGAACCCCAACCTGTCATGCCTTCCTCAAAACCTGAAGAGACAGGTAGTGAGGACCCTGGCTATGAAGAAGAGGCAGGTGACCGTGGGGGATCTCAGAAAGCCTCAAGTATTACTGCCCCCTCTAGTCCCCACATTTACCAAGTATACAGCCTCCACAATGTGGAACTCTATGATGACAACCACATGCCATTCCTGAAAAACAATCCAATGCTCACCAGCATGACACAGCCTAGTGTTTTGACAAAGAGTCTTAGTAAAGACTCCTCATTCTCATCCACCAAATCTTTGCCAGATCTACTAGGGGGTTCCAATTTGGTGAAGCCCTGCCCGTGCCACGGAGGAGACATGAGCCAGAATTCAGGCAGTGAGAGTGGAATAGTCAGTGAAGGAGACACTGACACCACCACCAACTCTGAAATGTGTTTGTTCAATATGGTAGATGGGTCCCCTAGTAACCCTGAACCTGAACATCTGGAACCACAAATGGGAGATGCCATTAACATGTTAAAGCAAAAATTTAAAGATGAGGAGGAAGCCATTAAGCTTCCAAATGGCTCTCAGTCATCCATTTCACCAGTGGGTTGTGTAAATGGAAAAGCTGGAGATTTACACAAGGGGGGCTGGGGGATCCCCCCCCCCCGCCAGTGCACAAATTTCTGTGCACCGGGCCTCTAGTTATGTATAACAGGATAGTGTAAAAAATAAGTTATGAAATTTTTATTAAAACGTTTCTTAAATACCGTTATATTGGCTGAGTCACAAAAATATTCGTTGTGGGCCGCATGTGGCCTGTGGGCCACGAGTTTGACATGCTTGGTGTATTGGGACAACACTAACCAACTGAGCTCCCTTGCCAGGGTCAAGTTACTCATACCTCCAAGGCTCAAAACTCAAATTACCAATGATAATGAAACAGTCACAAAGTGAAAAGGCATATGTAGAGGATCCCCTGCTCCATGGCTTTTATTTTGATAAAAAGTCCTGCAAATCTAAACATCAAGCTACAGAGTTACAACCGGATACACCTCCTCATGAAAGGATTTTGGCAAGTGCATCCCATGAAATGGATCACAATTCATATAAAAGTGGTGATATGGAGAAGACACTCACTGGCATGCAGAATGCCAAACAGCTCTCCCTTCTATCTCATAGTTCATCTGTTGAGTCCCTTTCTCCAGTGGGTGATTTATTTGGACTGGGTATCTTTAAAAATGGCAGTGACAGCCTCCAGCGAAGCACTTCTCTAGAAAGTTGGTTGACATCCTATAAAAGCAATGAAGATCTTTTCAGCTGTCACAGCTCTGGGGACATAAGCGTGAGCAGTGGCTCAGTTGGAGAATTGAGTAAAAGGACATTAGATCTCCTGAATCGTTTGGAGAATATCCAGAGTCCCTCAGAGCAAAAGATAAAGCGGAGTGTTTCCGATATCACTCTTCAAAGCAGTTCCCAAAAGATGTCTTTTACTGGCCAGCTGTCACTGGACATAGCATCTTCCATCAATGAAGACTCGCCAGCATCTCTTACAGAACTTAGCAGCAGTGATGAGCTCTCTCTTTGCTCAGAGGATATTGTGTTACACAAGAACAAGATCCCAGAATCAAATGCATCATTCAGGAAGCGCCTGACTCATTCAGTGGCTGATGAAAGCGACGTCAATGTCAGCATGATCGTTAACGTCTCTTGTACCTCTGCTTGCACTGATGATGAAGATGACAGTGACCTCCTCTCCAGCTCTACCCTCACCTTGACAGAAGAAGAGCTGTGCCTCAAAGATGAGGATGATGACTCCAGTATTGCAACAGACGATGAGATTTATGAAGAGTGCAACTTGATGTCAGGGCTGGACTATATAAAGAATGAGCTGCACACCTGGATTAGGCCGAAGCTTTCCTTGACTAGAGATAAGAGAAGATGTCATCCCAGTGACGAAATAAGGGGCGGTAAGGATATAAGTAGTACTGAGATGACCAATCCCTCTGATACCCTCAGCATTAAGGCCCTTCTAAATGGCTCCATAAAACATCTCTCTGAAAATAATGGAAACAGTAAGAATTTACCCCACACCCATGAGTTAGGAACACAGAGTGAAAATAAGAAAAATATTTTCAAAGTCACTAAAGATCCATATGTGGCTGATGTGGAAAATGGCAATGTCGAAAGTACTCCAGAGAGACAGCAGGACAAACTTAATGAGATTTCACAGGAACCGGAGAATCTTGGTTCAGCCAGGAAGAGGATTTCAGAGAGTGAGCATGGTAAGTGCGAAGCAGTTATGGATAGCTCAGGCGATTCAAACATTGCTGGAAGAGAATCTGTCTCCCAGACCGTTAGACATCTTCCAAAGAAATGTCAAAACCACCACCATTTTGAAAATCAAACGGCTGCTTCTACTCCCGCTGAGAAGTCTTGCCCAGAGCTGCCTCCAGAAACCAGAGTCACCAATAGACAGGACTCTGAGGTACTGCAGTCTTCATGTGATGATGCACTAAGTTTGGCTGGAAAATCTGCCGGTTGCTGCCTAGAACTTGAACAAAATGAAACAGAGGAAAATGCCTCTGTTGGTGACAACGTTTCCTGTTGTGGATGTGAGTCAGGTGTTTTCCATCCAAAAGATGCCGAGGATTGTTCAGTACATGACTTTGTTAAGGAAATCATTGGCATGGCTTCCACTGCCCTAAAAAGTAAATCTCAACCTGAAACCGAGGCAGCCGCTCCTACTTCATTAACTCAAATCAAGGAGAAAGTGTTAGAACATTCTCACCGGCCCATCCAGCTGAGAAAAGGGGACTTTTATTCCTACTTATCTCTCTCATCGCATGACAGTGACTGTGGGGAGGTCACCAATTACATAGAAGAGAAGAGCAACACTCCTTTGCCTCTGGACATGACTGACTCTGGCCTGGAAGACAGGGAAGACATTGAGTGCTTCTTTGAGGCCTGTGCTGAGGATGACCCTGATGGAGACGAGCCCTGTGCCTCCAGCCCTCCTCCAGATGAGCCTGCAGGTCACAGGGAGGCTGCAGTGCCATCACAAGCAGCAGCGGGCTCTCCTAGGTGCAGTGACATTTCCCTCTCAGCCGACGATGCAGACATGGTGGCTCTTGCATGTCCTCCCCCTCAGAAAGGATCTGACATTGGGAAGGAAGTGGATGGTTTACCCCAAGCTTCCAATGTCTGCGGAGAAAGCTCACAGTCAGCTACTCCTCCAAGGCTGGGCGGTGAAAAAGAATGTTCAGAAAACCCAGGTGAGTCTGGGATGCCAGAGGAACATAAGGCTGCTTCGGCCGACTCGAGAGTCCCAGGGCTCTCCTCAAAGGCACAGCAGTCCAAAGACAAGGCTGCGTTGCTTCCCAACCCCAAAACTTTAACCTGTGAAGATCTCCTAAACCTTGATGAAGAACGACATAGAAATATGCATAGGTAGAATGTAACCTTCTCCAAGCATGAAAATCATCTCATTGAAAGGTATGTATAGTTCTCATGTTTTTAATGCATATTTAATATATTTTAGCATATATATAATGAGTTTGAGTCATCAAATCCATGATAGGAGAAAATACAAGTTAGAATGGTCATGGCAGATATTTATCTGAAGAGGACGTTTAGGTGGAAGAAATACTCCCCACAATGCAAGCAACTGTGAAGCCAAAGAGGGGCAAACAGTCACAAATGACATTTTTAGGGACATTAACTTGTTACATCATTCTGGCAAGAAGAAGACAAAATTTGAGGAAGTAGCTGAATAATTTGGGGCCTTGAATTCTTCCATTGAGGGAGGAAAAATGGTTCTCCAAATTGCAATTACACCCTCTGACCCAAACCCATGCACAGTGACCACGCCCTCTCTCAGGTTCCTGCACCAGAGCTGCCAGCTTCCTTCAGGGCCTGAAGATGAGCCATGATTAGGCTAAAGGCTGTGTCTCCTGATCTGGGCCTCCCTTTTATGCTTCTGTCTAAAGTAACTGTCATCACATTTGCTTCCCCCAGGGAAGGCTGTGCTGTCACAGCTCCTACTCACAGCCAGGTCTGAGGACTCACACAGGCGGGGAAGGTTGATGTGAAAGAAGTGGCTTTTATTTATCCACACAGACTGAGAACAGGCCCAGAAAGCAAATGCAGAAAGAATAAGCGACAAGTTAATGGTGTTTTGATAAAAAACAGAATTTTTGAATTTTGCCTGAAGGTGACAGACTAATTTCCATCAAATTTTTAAAGAAAGTCATTCGCTCTTTATGTTTAATAAGACAGCTATTGATTGATAATTCTGAGATGGTGATACAGTTCTAAAAGTAACACAAAAACACTGTCGTTTCCTATTTTTAAGCCCCAATGATGAATATACTATCTCAGTCAAGTTTCAAGAAAATTTGAGCTTTTGAATATGAGAGTTGTGTTTTACCAATGTGAGGTGCCAAGTGCCATCGCCACCCCCACTCCTGCAGCTTAATGTTGTAACCTAAACTTGTGCTATAGGAAATGAATTACAGAAGCAATCTACCCTAATTTGTTAACTTATTCAAATAACAGTTATTATACTTAACTATGCTAAAGATTATCTTTTTTGTGGCAGATTGTTTATTTTTTGATGAGCCTAATTACTGATTTTCTAAAAGTAATTTACATTTATTACAAATACATCTTTTAAAATGTGACAGATAAATGTTGTTCCCATAATGTATTATGAAAAAAGTTACTATTTAAAAACACATTATTTAATTTGAAAGATGAATGGCAAACATCATTATTTTTTTTCCTGCAACACCTGTGCCCTAGGCTCATTAAAATGTGTGATTCTGTGGAGAGCTGCTAGAAATGAGGAGTGCGAGGGGGAATCTATACCATATATACACCCTAAAAATAAACTCGGTATGCAAAATTGGAAAAAGGCATCCTACTTACTAATATAGCTCAACTAATTTTCCATGTTTCAGACTCTTTACAATTGGCTACAAATGAGAACAAAAGTGGGAGCGAGAGAAATAAATGTATTTCTGTGAAAGAGGTTCACCCTATAATCACATTCTCCATCAGTGTGCCGCACCACTGACACTGCAGGAGAGGAACCGCAATGCCATCAGCTACTTCCAAACAAGTTCTGTGAGAATTCGTTGTACTGCTGGCTCAGCCAACCTCCGCAGAAGGGCTGGTAGAGCCTGGCTGACTTTTATTCTCCGAGAGGGCATAAAGGCTGGGAAGCAACACCCCTTTGAGTCTGACATCATGTGACTGTGACCCTCAAGTCCCCAGTCATGCTGATCCAGAGCGGGAGGAGCTCTGGCACTGGAGAAACTCCAGGATGCATCCTCCCTTTTGAAACCATGGGCATTGCTTCTCTCCCTGACCTGGACACAGAATTGACATGAAATGTGAATGATAAGCAGCTCCATCTTTAGACCCGGGGAAGTGAATATGCTGATGGGTCTGTGTGACCGTCACATTCTACAGGCAGGGACCGTGTAAAACAATCAGCCAGCCCGCCTGCCAGTCAACAATATTTTGTTGAGCCCCGGCGACACGCTGCCTGGCCCTGTCCCAAGCAATGCGGAAGCAGCCAGATTTTACTCTCCAGAACTCACATCGCCCCCCAAGTGACTCGTTATCAGCCTAGGCCCATTCAAATGGCCATATTTACAAGTCCTATGCAGTTTTTTCAGAAGCATGTACACAGAACATCTGGATACCTACATTTTTCACTAGTCATTAGCATGTGTACCTGGGTATAAAGATTTACTTATGGTTAGAATACTACCAACCAGGACAAGTTAATCTCAAAATCTTGACATGATTTCAGTGTTCAATGTCAGGAATGAATAGTAAAATTATTTGGTAAACATGGGGTTTCATGCCTATAAAAGCTTAACTATTGTCATTGTTCTTCCTACAAGATTCAAAAGAGCAAAAGAAAAAGCTCTACTTTTTAAGCCATTTGAACACTATCAGTTGAACACTATCAGGATACTCAAATTTAACTTGTGGTTTTTTGGTTTTTTTAAAAAAGCTCTACTTTTTAAGCCATTTGAACACTATCAGGATACTAAAATTTACCAAATTTAACTTGCGGTTTTTGTGTTTGTTTTTTTTAGAAATAAGTTCTCAGATGATGAAATTATTATGGCATCTGGAAGAGCTATAACTGAGAATAATAGCAATACAATTTGCAACTGTAACATTTCTTTCCAGAAATTTTTGAAGAGTTTTCTCATTTACTGTGTTCTAATTAAAACCCACTGAAACTATGGGAGAAGTTTTAACATGATCTAACACAGTAGGCATTTGCACCAATTTTCAGGCACACTGCTGTGCTTTCCACTATTTTCATTTGTATGTCATGTTTCTATAAAAATAGATAAGTAAGTTACATCAAATCAAAAGAAAGGTAACTGAATAGATCCAGATATTCCTGCCTAATTTGGAGAAAGAAATACTGTATGTGTGGCGTGCCTCCCAGGACCTGCCTGAGGGTTGTACTTTGCACTAATCTTTTTGCTGCATTCTGACAGTTATTTCTTCATAATCCTCATTATAAGCCTCTGATATTTGGTGAGTGATTTAAGCCTAAACTTTATGCAGGATAAATCCTGTGGTATAAAAATTTAAACCGTCACATGCAGTCAGTATGCTCAAGTGTGAACATGTGCAGTAAAAAGTGCTGCTGCTCAGTTTTTACAAACTGAGGAAGCTGTAAGAGCAAACTTTTCTCATGTATGCACCACACATTTTCATTCTATTAATCGGATTGACATAAGTGTTTAATGTGATCAGAAGCTGGCCAAGCAGGTTTAAGAGACTACTCTTGGTGACAGTACATTCATTTTTCACTAAACAGTACAGGTGTAATCTTATCAAATTTACCTTGGAAATCACTTCAATAAATCAAGGTTCTGGTGTATGTGAAGTATTTTTTAAAATTATCCCAAAAAAGGAGACATATGTACTACTATTTGTAATGCTTTAAACAATAAAAAAGATAAAAAATTATCCAGCACTTCTGAATAACTAGATTTGTCATGATAAATAATGAAGATTTTATTGGGCATCACCCATCACTCACACACACACACACACACACACACACACCAGATCTGTGTCTCAGCCAATTTGGCCTATCCCTTTCTAAGCAGGCCAAGTTAAAAGAATTGATTATCCAGAGAGAATTTAAATACCAGCACTTATGGTAGTATGATCAGATTTGCCTCACCTAAGGATTCACTACTCAGTGACCAGATTTCAAATGACTCATGTCCTCAGCATTTGAACAATGCACTATTCTCTTTCTTGAGTTACTGCATTATTTTACTCTACCAAATTTCATCCCATCTGTTTTTGTCTGTCTCTCCCTGTTCTTAAACTTGCCTACTCTCCCAGATTTCCTGTGGCTCCAGCCAAACTATATTAGCTAGAGCTTTTCTGGCTCTTAAACAGGTTGTAAGGTTTTCGAGAAAGAGCAAGACAAAGAAAGAGAATGTGTAGTTCTAAAAGGACAATAAAGCAACCTGACATCAGAATTCAGAACTCAAACCCAGACAAGCAAAAGCCTGCTTTATTTGATCTGACGACCTTAAGTAATTGCATCCTGCATTGCCTAAACCTGGAATTTATTTGTTCCTCACATTCGATAGGTTGCTTTGAGCCACTTAAAAATAGGCAGAACCAATTGAGTTTGAAAGTGTATCAGAGCCATGAGATGCACAGAAATAATCGAGTCATTCTCATTTGTACAGTGCTGTCTGCACCTTAAATGAAATGCATTCGTATTTGAACTAGAAGCCCCACTTATATCCTTTCCTCATAGGAAGGGGTTGAAACATTTGGAATTATCACAATGTTATGAATATTTCACCACTACATAATAGTGGAATTGTTCAAATCCATTGTCACACATACAGTCTCACTGGAGGAAGGATGAATGACTGTCAATACTTTGCTGGTTCACTTGGCATTGGCAGCCTCAGATTTTCGTGGAGAGTTGAGGCTTCCCGGAGTGTTTGAAACCAAGTTCACAAGCAAAAGAGTAGATGAGATCCAGCAGAAAAGTCAAACTTGATTTTTCTTTAAAACCATGTCTTAAAAAAAATCAATGTATTTTTCACATTGATTCCAAAACATTTTTTTAAAATATATTTTATTGATTTTTTACAGAGAGGAAGGGAGAGAGATAGAGAGTTAGAAACATCGATGAGAGAGAAACATCGATCAGCTGCCTCCTGCACATCCCCCACCGGGGATGTGCCCACAACCCAGGTACATGCCCTTGACCGGAATCGAACCTGGGACCCTTGAGTCCGCAGGCCGACGCTCCATCCACTGAGCCAAACCGGTTTCGGCAATTCCGAAACATTTTTATCAGTCATGTGAAACCGGGGCTATTAAAATCACTCTAATTTATGTATCCTTTTATTTCAGAGCATTAACAGTCCCAAAATGGCAGCCTTCAATGATTCCTCGAAGGTCTGGGTTTTACAGATGAAGCAGACATTTCTGAAACCTGTTTTTGTTTCTTGTAGATAAGCCCGGCTGCAACTCAGGGGTGGCCTCACACTCCCACCCCGGACGGGTCTCCGTTCCATCCCATCACTGCCGTCTGTTACACTGACCTCTCCCACTATGATGCTTCCTTCCGAGTGCGGTTTGTCCACATGGCCTTGTGACCCTGACGCGTGCGCTGGCTCTCTTTAGGTGACTCTCTGAAGCTCAGCGAGCTGCTTGTTCTCCCATGGATTCCTGTCCCAAGCTACCTCTACCACCCCCCTCTCCAGCAAGACTTTGGTTTGCCTTGTCCCCTCCCCATCTGCTCTTTAAAGCTCTGCAGCTCACCAATTTGATGGTCCATTAAATTCACCTGTCTGGAATGAGCCCCTGCCAGTACTTGACCAAGTTCATGTTTCAATAGGAAATTTCTTTGTAATGGTACGATGCCTATGTTTATTGAAAGAATTTTACCTAAAGGGGCAACATTTGATTTGATTGCAGCATAGAGAAGAAACGCTGGCTTTTCTTTCAAAATTAAGCAATTGTTAAAAGCTCCATTTTATTTATTTTATTTTAAAAATAATAATCTATGCAGCACTTCAAGAAACAACTAAATAGTGTTGTATATTATAGACTGGTGACATTCTATTAAATTATGTACAACATTTTTGCTTTTCTTAATGCTTCTTGAGGTGGTAATGAGAAAAAAAGTTTTTTAAAAAAGTGTGCCTTGCTGTATTTCTTATACCATTTATTAGAAAGCTGCTTTCACGGTAAAGTTAGGTTGTTTTAAAAGGAGGAAATAGCAAGGTTAAGATGTGTGAATAATTTCTGTACATATGTATAACCAAGTACAAACATTGATGTATAATGACAGTATAAAATGCTTTCATGTTTGTGATGTCTAGTGATGTGGAAAATATAAGCCTTAAATCTATTAGATTGCATGGTAATTAAAATTGGCATAATAAACATAGATTATTAGGGAAAAAGGAAAAATTAGTGATCTCTTCTACCTGTGTTCTTTACCAAATTATCGCATCTGGTTCTGGAACAAATATTACATATAGCAGCTTCCAAAATATCTATATTGCATAAGAGGCTTAAAATTACTTAAACTAGAAACTACACAATGAAGCCATCACAATTTTCAAGATTCTTCTGATTACTATAAAGATCTTGGAACACTAATGATTTACTTCCAGTTCCCCTAAACCAGTAAAAATATATCCTAGATTTTTTTTTATTTCTACTTATCTTTAATGGTTTTAATGTTGGATTTCAGAATACTTAGTACATCTTATATTTATTTTATATAATTTTTTGAATGGGTTTGATAGAAAGATAGTAGAAAAGTATAGAAAATTTGACTATTCTTTTTATTTAAATTATAGATTTCAAGTGTATTTATTTTGTGTAAAAGAAGTTAGCTAAAAATATTGTTTGGTCTTTACTGCTCTTGTGAAAGGCAGTTTCTAGTTTTATTCTAACACCTACTCAAGTGCCTGACACAGTAGGTATTCAATAAAAATTTGTTGAATTGAAATATTGAATTAGGTAATATGATGACATTTATCTTTTCATTTTGAGAGAGGTACACTAAAACATGTAAACTAGAAAAAGATCTAATGCAGTTAGAAAATCACATGTAATATATGATTACTTTACATCAAATTTCAAAAAGAAATAATGTGTGGATTCATATAGTCAAAGAAATGACAATCATTCATTCAATTGATAGTTCGTTAACACTGTTTATCTGCAAGGCACTATTCTAGATGCAGGGGATGCAATGCTAACTGAACAAAGGCTCTGCCCTCGGGAAGCTTACCTACATATGGATGAAGTGAGCACACAAACTAGATTCAGTAGTGGTCCTGCAGGTGAGGAAAAGAGCAAAGTGATGAAGACGTACAAAGACGGAAGCAGCAATGGACAAGGAGGAAGAAAAGGGCTAGAAGAGAGCAGAACGTTAGATAGTAGAAAATTAGTGAAGCTTATTGCAGGGTAGTAGGAGAAAAGGTAAGTTGGGAAACTTTTAAAAAGTTATGATGGACCTTTGTATGTGCTATGCTAGGCAGTAAGGAAATTTCGTTGTCTTTGTTTTGCACCTGATATTGCTTATCATTAAAACTATTAGTAGCACACCAAGAACATTTAAAAATAGTAACCTATAATTCTAACACTTTAATAACTACTTGTATTTTTATGCCCCTTCTAATCTTTTCCATGCATATTTCTAAAGTGATGAATCATTCTAGACTTTTGAATGGATAGTAATTCATTCACAAGGGGTTTTAGGCAGACATTTAGTTGCAGAGTACAAGGTGATTACAGGGGAAGATATTAGAGATAAGTCTCTCATTAGGAGGTAGCTGTAGAAAATAAGCTAGTCTTGAGAAGATAACAGATCACAGGGAGAGTGGCCTGGGATGTAGAGAAAAAAGTCCTAGTGTCCGAAATCCCTAAGAGCATTCTGGATTTCCCTTGAGGTGTGCTATAATTTTACATACTGAGACAACCTAAATTTTCCTTGGGTACTAACTATTGCCAAGTCTGCATCTCTTAGTAAAACATTCAAAGAACAAACAGGCCATGATGTTTTACTTACCTGTGATATGCTCATTGAAGACATTGAGGTATTGAAAATATTTGTTTATTAATAACCTGTTTAGGGTTAACACTGGATATGTAGAATGACTTTCAGGTTTATGGTACAATGCTTTTTCAGGTTGGAAAGGACGGAATAGCCTCAATTTCTTGCTCTATTTAGGTGCTACCTTCTAGGTTACCCTTGAATGGTCACACCAACTCTGCCTACGCACTTCCAGTGGTTTATCCTCTGCTAAGGCAAGCGTGTGTCTCTATTAAGAAGCTATTTCTTGGGTTGCTAAAATCTGCATAGTGACCCCTACCCACCTTTAATTTTGTTCACTGGTCTTAATTCTTTCCTGCTAAGCTGCCCTAGAATTTCTACCCTTTATTTTTCATGGTAACCCTGGAGATAATTGAGACCAGTTCCTCATCCTCTCCCAGCTGCTATGATTTCTGTTCTATAATTCCCTCAACAGCCCTTCATATGCCATGATTTTCATCTATTTCAACCTAATGTTAACAGACAGAATCCTTGAAACTGAGGAACTGTCTTCATCATCATACATGTAGGAAAGTATCTGAACATTTAAGTGGTAAGTTTTCTCTAAAAATATATGAAGATATGTTTATTCTATTATTGTAAAATAAAATAAATAAATAAATAAGCAAATAAATAAGAATCCATTACTTCCTTCAGTGGCCCAGTCAAGTGCCAGAGTTATCTTGAATGCTTACCTTACATCAAATCCAAACCTAACCTGTTTCCTTATAAAGCAGGGTCTCCTTTCCATTTATTCATTTATTCATTCAGTCATTCAACAAACATTCATTGAGTGGCTACTTGTGTGAGGCACTGTGTTTGGCATTAGAGAGACAAAGGCTCCTGAAACTCGGTCACTGCCTACAGAGGTTTACAGTTTTTCTTGTGAAAGTGCCTTTCATGTCCTCGAATAGAGTGATTTCTCCAAATTAAATGATGGCCCATTAATTTTGTTTCCTATCTAGTTTCTCTACATTTTAAGAACTCTAGTGAGCAAAATGGTATGCAGAATTATGTGGCTCTGACTGCTAGAAGTAGTGTTTTTGTATTTGAAAGTTTGAATAACAGAAAAATATTTCAGGTTTCTGGTCACTTAATAAATATGTCTTATGCAACAACAGAACAATCTAAATTCAGTGCTTTTTAGACGTTAAGTTTGATGATTTTGTTGTGTTTGGTTTGTCTAGCTTAGAAGTTTTACCCATGCTATAATTTCATGAAATAAATTAACAAAATTAGAAAACAGACTGAAATGATTTGGCTATTTTTTATAAGTCAAATTATTTTCATTTCCAAAGAAATTGGTATTATTTTAGAATTTTACTGAATAGTCTATAATTTTATATTTCAAATTTATTTTAACTTAAACCAACTAAATTTACAACTGTGTCTTTTTTCCCATATATACTTTTCCATTTTTTATTTTGAATAATTTTAGACCTATATAAAGGTCGAATGAGTAGTAAAATGATATTTGCATACTCATCAGTCATTTATTGCTACTATTTTGCCACGTTTGCTTCATCTCTATACACACACACTCTCACATACACACTTTTTTATGTGATTGAACTATTTGAAATTATATTGCAAATCAGAACACTTCATCTGTAAATACTTCAGCATATATCATCTAAGAACAATGGCATTATTGTTAAGTCCACAGTACCATCCTCATGGCCAAGAAATGTAACTTTGATACAATAACATTTGATAATTCTTATTCAGATACCTTAATAATACCCTTTCAAAGTTGTTTTGTTTTAATCTATGATTCAAGCAAAGATCACACATTGCTTTTAGGTTTTGTCTTTTTATTCCTGAACAGTTTCTCTGCACTTTAATTTTTTTTTTTTTTGGTCCTTCATAACTGACATTTCTGAAGCGTCCAGGCCAGGTTTATAGAATGAGCCACAATCAGGCTGTGTCTAGTTGTTTTCTCATTATTCAACTCAGGGTATAAACTTTTTTGTCAAGTATAGCACATAAGTGATATTGTGTTCAATAGCTACTCTTTAATGAAGAGTGAATGACTCATTGACATTCTTGATGTGTCTTGAGGTTCACAACTTACTCTTATAGCTCATGCTTCATCAATCGAAGGCAGGGTCAGCAAACTACAGTTTGTCATTCAAATCTAGCCTACTGCTTATTTTTGTTTGGGCTCTGAGCTAAGAATGGTTTTTACATTTTTAAATCATTGAAAAAAATCAAAGGAATATTTCATAACATAAAATTATGTAATATTCAAATTTCAGTGTCATTAATAAAGTTTTATTGGAACATAGCCACACCTATTTGTTTACATATTGTCTATGGCTGCTTTGCACTGTAACTGCAGAGTTAAATAATTGTGACAGAGACCATATAGCCTGCAAAGCCTAAAATATTTCTATTTTGCCCGTGACAAAAAGAGTTTTCCCATATCTGGTTTATGGTATTCTAAATTCTGACACCATTTTCTTAGAGGTAGATAGGTTTCTATTTGCAAAATCAATGTAACATATTAGCACTTGTAATGACTATATTTTGCTTTCTATATATGAGTTGGCAATTTCTGTTTCATGTTACCTTAGTAAAATAAAGTGTGCTTTGTTTGATAAACTTAAAGATTGTTCCCCAACCACAATTGGTTTAAGGATCTAAATTTAGTTTACTTAGTACTGCATGGCTTTGATTGATTTTGAGGGTTAGTCAATTACAGACTAAGTCATTTGTTCAATCAAAACCATCAGGAAAATTGACACAACCTAAATTCACTTCAATTCACCAATAAACTGGAATCCTTTCTCTAAATGTTTTTCTAAAGCAGTCCAATGAAATTTAAATTCAGGCCATTTCAAAGCCAGTTTTTCAAATGTATTTTTCAACCCAAACAAAGGCAAAACCTTGATCAAAGATTATTTAAGATACACTTTCATTTTGTAAGTCTTTGTCACAAATAATCTGAATTTGCCAAGGAAATCAGTAATTCTCACAGACCCTGCTGTGGCCACAGGTGGGCCCTCTTACTGAGTAGATGTTCAGAAGGTAACGGGCTTCTACCTTTTTCCATAGTTTATCTTTGACAGCACTAGCACTCCCCTGCCACATGCCTAGAGAGGGGACACTCCAAGAAGGCATTTAGCCACTTCCACCTCCTTAAAGAGCAACAACACACCTTCCATATAACAATGCCTATTAATATGAGACTTTTCATGTATTTGCGCTTTCAGAGTAAAATAACAAAATGATGTGTGCAAGTCATCCCCACAATACTGAGGTTTCGGTGGGAAAGGCGTTTTGCCAGCATCTTGAGATCATTCTGCCAGTGCCCTTGATCAATGGGCCCTCACCAAGGGAGACAATATGCAGAGTATTCGTACCTGTGTCTTACAGTAAACCTGGGCCTGCATAAAGCAACCTTTCTGTCTCTTTTCTGTTTCAACGCAAGCAACTTGGAAGATGTTCACATGTGAGAGACATTTCCAAGCTTTTGCCAGACATCAATAACAATTTCCAGTGAGGGAAGACTCATGGAGGGGATCTTAATGCACCGGATGGAGTGGCATTACTCAATGGGTAACTTTGATGCCAATCTAATTCATACTTAAAGAAAACATCTTTCCTGAATACTGGCACTTTATTATTGGTTACACATCACTTGTGACATCATATTTTAGAACCACAATAAACCCTCGATTTTGCAGACCTTGATTTAACGGACTTTGGATTTAATGGACAAGATTTCCGGGTCATATGCCATATGTGAAAATTAACACCCTGTTAACTTTAAAATGCTTTAAACCAAGATTTTCTGATAGTTAAAGTAACAGATTATTTTCTGTTTTGTTATTAACTCACTGCTATTTTTAACAAATTTTAGCAAATAGGCCATATGTTGGAAAAAGTATTGTAGTAATTTCCCAGACATTAATAAATATCTACAACTAGAGTCTACATATTTAAATCAAAGAATCACCACTCGTAAACAATGTTCGGCGCATGATTAGCACGTGATCACATCCCAGTGCAAGGTAATTAGTTCTGTTGTCACAAGGCATGGCTTTCTGCAGCAGTTTTAACCTGTGCCAGCAATTTTCCCAGGACACGTGCTAACCCCGCCCCAGCCGTGTGCATTTGTCTACTCACCATGATTGGTGAGTGCATGCATTTACTAAGCCTATTCAGTATAAATTCAGTATAAATTTAAAATTACAGTAATACATGTAGAAATTAAATTTTTTATACATATTTTAAATTACACAAACATGTCTACATAAGTATAAACAGGTAAATTAACTAATTTAAAGTACACATTCAGAAAACCTACTTTATAATATAATGGACTTTCAACTTTAACACACACCCTCACCTGAATTAGTCTGTTATGTCGAGGTTTTACGGAACCGACATTGAGGCTTGTAGTGAATTGAAGTGCCCCGAACCTGGAAAGCTCTTCCAAAGAACAGGAGAACCAACACCCCGGGCATGGAGGGACAGCCCCAGACGTTCCACAACCAGGAAGAGCTCCGTCTTTCTGGTGAGTACATTCTTCAGAAAAAAATAGTAAACTTAAGGGAAGCGAATGTAAAATTCAGCAGAACTTGGCCGCACATTAACAGTGGAGGAAAGGCTGATTCTGATGATCTGGCCCAGGTGATTTCACCCGCTGCTGACCAAAGAGGCATAATATATGGAACATCAGATTTTCCCAAATGGATGCAGAGCCTTCTTGCGTCTCTCTACCAGATACTGTGGCACTGCTCTTTCCCCTTTCTGCATTTATTTATGGGGAATTTGGACTAGGGTTACCAGATGTGAAATTTGGTATTTTTTTTTCACACCATCAAGATGTAATAATGTTTATTAATTTTTATATTTAATTTTTTTAAAATTAATAAATATACAATTTGATAAGAAATGACACTAAAATTATTAAAACATTTCTTTGTCCTCACACTTAACCTACCATTAAAAAAACCCACCAACTCCCTATAAACAAGTGGACCATTACAGGCATAAAACCAGTATTATTCAGCAAATTTTATTCAAGGACTAAAATGATTGAAGGAATATAAAAATGCATACAATCCTGTTTAAACCCCAATATTTTCCAATCACTGGTTTATAAAAAATTCTCTAAGATTTATAGAATTAGTCTGGTTCTATTAGTTGATCAAGTTACTTACACTTCAATTCAAAACAAATAATTCCCTCTGTGTGTGCGTGTTTGCTCGCTTACAAATATGTTTCATTTATTTTAAAGTGTCTTTTTATATAAAAAATCCAACTTGCTGAAATTTATCTTGTCATTAAAATAGTGTGAAAATCAAATCAGTCTTCATATTGGTGCTCTTATCTCTGCTGATCTCAAATGACTGATGATGCTTACAATAAGGTTTTGTAAAATGAAAATTCCTTAACTGTTCAGGAAGCAATTTTTGTACATGGACAGATTTGCCTCTCTTCTAAATATTTTTTTATTAGTGTTTTAAGTTCAGGCTTATTCTCTTACCAATGATGTCTTTCCATGCAAACTATATATAAAAATAATTTTTTAGAAAGTAAAATTACTGATTATTTACAGGTTAAGAGGTATTTTTATAGGAATGAGATAATATTTAATGGGTAATTGTTTTTTAAATGAAAAGAACAAACTCTCATTGATTCAGAATGATTGAATACCAGAATATTCTTGTTCCCCTAAGAATTTCATTATTTAAGTCACCTGTGACTTAATGGCAACTCAAATATTTTTAAACAAAATTGAATCTTTGATGATGTGGCCTCACTATAGTAATTACCAATTATTGTATGATAAATAAGTAAGTTATAGGAAATCAGGCTAAATCAGTAAACACACTTTGGATATTATTTTAAAAATCAATAGAAATAATAAAATGAATCATGATTCAATACTCTATAATTGGTGATACCCATTTTACCAATGGGCTAGAGAGGTAGCTGGTTATTAATTGCTTCCTTTTCATAAAAGCAGAGTGTGGAGGAATAAAAGCTGTTTCAGAAACTCATTTTCTATCTAGATAAATAAGGATTATTTTAGTGTTCACATATGTTGCTAAATTCCCTATCTGAACATTTAAATCATGCCAAAACTGAAGAAAGGACTTTAATTTTTAAAATAATTTCTCATAGTAATTCTATAGGAAAAAATGATAGCTAAATTAGCACTTGAAAAAGGCCAAAGAAAATTATATACTCTATATAATTATGCCTCATTATGACCTCTGCACATTTTCCAGAG